TTCAGTTTCTATGGGAGGTACTAGAATGAACTATTGTGTGTTAAAAGCGAAAATATAAACATGCAAATCTATGCATCTTTTCTGATAGCCAAGCAGCTTTGAATGCTTTAAAATCATTTACATGTACTTCCAAGTTAGTATGGGAATGCATTCAGGTACTTCAACAGTTGTCTAATAACAATACAGTATATCTCTACTGGGTACCAGGACACTGTGGAGTAGAAGGTAATGAAAAGGCTGATGAACTAGTCGGGCAAGGATCATCTAAGCAATTTCTAGAACCTGAACCATTCTGTGGGGTCTTTCCAAGCTCCATCAAGATGGAATTAAGGAACTGGAAAAAGATGACGATAGACTGTAATTGGAATAATACTATCACAGTCCGACAATCAAGAAAGTTTGTGATGCCGAATGCATCAAACACACATAAACTCCTTAGCCTCTCAATGGAAGACCTATGTACTTACATAGGACTAATTAGAGGGCACTGTCCAGCCAAATATCATCTAAGACTAATTAAAAACGGTTTCGTAACGAGGAAATAGAAACCTCCGAACATTTATTGTGCAACTGTGCAGCACTTCTTTACATAAGGGTAAAGTTCTTTGATAAGGGACTACTACAGCCCTTTGAAATATGGTGTTCATCTCCTAGTAAGGTAGTGCGTTTCATACGAAACATAATTCCTTGCTGGGAATATATCTAAAGTTAGGCGCTGATGGTTATTTCTAATAGTAGTTTTTCACTCTAATAAGGTTAACAAAAAAAAACCGGGGAATATACTACAATAGATCAAATAAATAGTCCCAGTGGTAATGTACCCAACAGGAAAAAAAGGGTCCTGGTGTGAGAGCTGCCTTTATGGCGTCGGTAGCATTGGTGCTCAGCACGGAAAACAAGATCGACGAAAAAACAAGTAGTTTAATACCTAAATTAGACTCGTTCAAGTATGTGCTTCATAATTCTGATTGTGATATATTTGCACTCTGTGAATCTTGGCTTCCTTCTGAAGATGAATTAAACTTCCACGATTTTAACATTATCCGCCTGAACCGAGATGATTCATATGGTGGCGTACTTTTGGGGATCAAAAAGGGCTACTCCTTCTATAAAATCTCAATCCCAATAATTTCAAGCATTGAAATTGTCGCTTGCCAAGTAAATGTGAAGAACAAAGATCTTTGCATAGCTTCTGTATATGTCCCTCCTAGGACTTCCATAAACCACCGTCAGCTTTGGAGTTCAGTTAATATCCTTCCATCTCAAGTTCTAATACTAGGCGATATGAACTCACACGGTACTGGCTGGGGCAAATCGTACGTTGACCATAGAGTGGGTATTTTCTGTGATTTGTGCGACGATTTCAACTTGACTATCTTGAACACTGGGGAAGCAACTCGTATAGCAAAACCACATGCTCGAAGCCGTCTTGACATATCTTTGTGCTGTAACTCACTATGATTAGATTGTCTGTGGAAGGTTATCAATGATCCCCATGATAGTGATCACTTACCAAATATTATTTCAATCAAAAGTAGTCGTCGTAAACAGATCCGTCAATTCAAGTTCCTTTTGACCTCAAGAGGAACATTGATTGGCAAAAATTTGTATCGGCGGTAACTATTGGTATTGATTCTACTGATGATCCTCTACCACCATTGGAGTCGTAGTCTACCATCATAGGAGTACGTTTCTTTACCGAACTAATCTACAAAAGCTCATTAGAAGCTCAGAAACGACGTGTTCCTAGTGCATCCTTCAAAATAAGACCCGCCACCCCTGGATGGGATGACGAATGCACAGAGTTGTATCTTGAGAAATCCGAGGCTTTTAAAGATTATCGTAGACATGAATGATCTGAGCTTTTTGAAAAGTATCCATAGCTTGGAAAAAAAGCTTAAAAACTTAGATGCTAATTTCAAATAACAGACTGTAGTGGTAATTTTCATACGATAGATCGAGTAGATGAAAGTATAGAGTTGATAGTTCCGTTAGAGTACGGCAGTGTGAAAATTGCATATAGATAGTAGAATAGCGAGCTAGGACAACTTCTAAGGAAGGTACAAATCGGTTTTTTTCATCTCTCTTTACCAAACTCCCCCTTTGGAGAGGGAAAAAAACCTTACTAAAAGCAAAGAAACGAAATTACTGGCGTACTTTTATCAATGGACTTTCTAGGGAAGCCTCGATGACAACGCTTTGGAAAAAGGCTCGCTATATGCGAAACCGCTCATCTTCCAACGAGAGTGAAGAATACTCCTCCCAATAGATATTCGACTTCGCTAAACAGGTTGTACCAGCACAACCAACTTTACGGGATACAGTCCGAAGTAACGGTTCTGTGAACCATTCACAATGCTGGAATTTTCAATGGCACTTCTTTCATCGAATAACTCTGTTACGGGAAGCGATATGATCAAATTTGACCTTCTAAAAAACCTCCCCGATATCGCTAAATGTCGATTACTTAACCTTTATAATGCATTTATGAAATTCAATATATGGGGACAGGTTAAAGTAATAGCTATTCATAAGCCTGGGAAACCAGCGTCTGATCAAAATTCTTACCGTCCGATCTCTATGTTATCATGCTTTATGAAATTATTAGAAAAAAATATCCTTTCAAGACTTGACCATTTGGTTGAATCAAAAAACCTTCTTTAAAATACGCAGTTTTGTTTCCGAAAGAGTATAGCAACAAACTATTATCTAGCAATGTTTTCATCTGATATTCAACTGGACAAGGAGCAATTGGCTTCAGTCTTTTTGGATATAAAGGGCGCATTTGATTCTGTTTCCATAGACATACTGTCAGACAATTTGCACAGCAGTGGATTACCCGGTATTTCAAATAATTTCCTGTATATTGCTGTCAAAAAAAAAACAAATGACCTTCAATCAAGGTCAACTGACAACTTCTAGAATTAGCTACATGGCTTACCCCAAGGTTTATAATTAAGTTCCGTATTTTATAATTTCTATGTCAAAGATATTGATAACTGCCGCAGATAATCGATGCACGCTTAGACAGCTTGCAGACGATGCCGGCTATTTTTTCAGTTCTTGAGTATGGCTCTTTTCGCATTCTCTCCGCAAGAAAAAGTCAGCTAATTAAATCGAAACGCATTCAATATCGTTGTTAACGTATTGCCCTTGGCTGTATTCATTCAACACACAATATGAGCCTAGAGGTTATAGTAGGAGTAAACCCCTGCAGAACCGTTTCTTGGAGCTCTCATTAAAAATATTGATTACATGTAGTGTCAGTAACAAACTTGTGATTGAAAACTTCGAAGAAATGCCCGAATTGAGCATCCAGTATAGATTAGTTCGAATCTATTTTAATTATAAGTCATCGGATATTAACCTTCCACGCTATAAACCCCCTCGTGTATGCTTTACTAACTACAGTTCCCCCATTGACTATGATCTCTCCATGAAACAGGCTATTCAAGGAGTTCCTGATCATCTTCAACATATTTAATTCCCCGTATTTTGACTGAAAAGTACAAACAAGTCAATTGTAATAGAAGATTTTTCACTGATGGATCACGCATTGATGGATCCACTGGCTTCGGCGTCTTCAATGAATACTCAACCGCCTTTCGGAAACTTCAGGAACTCTGTTCCGTTTATGTTGCTGAGCTAGCAGCAATCAACTCCGCATTGGGAATGATTTCTGACATGCCCATAAACCATTACTTCAGCTTCTCGGATAGTCTCAGCTTGATTGAGGCTATTCGGTCGATGAAACCAGGTTGGCAATAATCTTATTTCCTTTCAAAGGTAAGGGAGCAGATGAATTTGTTGGTCGAAAGATCATATATGATTACCTTTGTATGGTCCCCTCACATTGCTCACATTCCATTCAAAGGTCCGGATGTAAGTCGGGGCTTCATTCGCGTGATGTCAAGACTTATGTCCAACCACTACTCGCTAGACGCACATCTCTACAGAATAAACCTCGTTGATATGTTGTTGCAGAACCGGTTATGATGACATCGATCACGCAGTTTGGTATTGCCCGGGTAATGACGCCTCCAGAGCACGACTGTTGGATACCCTAGTGGCGTGAGGTAGACAACCCTTCCGTGAAGTAAGAGATGTATTGGGAACCCGTAATCTTCCCTACATGCAGCCGATCTACGAATTCCTATGTCTGTCTGATTTTAGAGTTTGATGTGTCTTCCAGCCATTGTGTCCCAGTCTTATTATCCTCCTGTTTCTGTGCTACTTGCCCTGCCCAACCAGGATTTGGTAAACCGTCCGAAAGTAGTATCTGAAGGAGGCATCATAAACCAGTTTCCTACCTAGCTCCTTCCAATCAAAATTGTTACCCATTAACCTCAAGCCCACCACGAGTAATTGGTACCCAATACTAACCTAGACCTACTGCTATTTAAAATGTATATTCAAACATTACTGATTTTGGCTCCGCAAAGTGTCACACACGACTGAGCCTAGTAAATAAACCAACTAGTTAAAACAAAAACTCCGATCAAGCTATATTACAGAGAGAGTTTATCGTGGTAATAATTTTGTCTTTATCGTTGGTTAATTTATGTGTTTTGATTCGTTTATTTTGGCTCCTAAAATCTTAGAATTAGTAATGGGAAAGCAACGAATATCGGCCCAGGGAAATTTTACCTCAGGGGTGCATTATGAACTGTTCTCCTCTACAGCATACATCCTTAAATCCAGATTTTGTTTTCAAACATACATCGTTCAATAAGATCTTCACATGATATCCAGCATCTACCCTATTCATACCGAAGCTGGTTCACAGGTACAGCTTTCCACCCAACAGCGACCGATCAAGTTCACACAGAATCCATGCTATAGGCACTGCACCGCGAAGCTTTCGGAGAGAGATAAATTGAGAGCCAAAAAGGATTTCTCCTCCAATATAAATCCACCTAGAAAGGAGCCAATTTCACCACCCCTCGGCTTAGGCGCGATTGCACTTTGATCCATTCGTTCAGTTGGTGAGTGTTCGTTGAGGTGTTCGGTAATGGAAATGCCATCGGGTTGAATCCTGTGTGAGGGCCGGTTTCTCGTTACCGCCACCCACTTTTGCAGTCCCCCAGTCGTTCTATTTGATAAGCTGCTGCAGCAGCAGTGGAGGAAGAATAAGAAACCTGCAGTTGAAGTGGGCTTTCTGTGAAGTGCGTGTGAGCGAGAGAGGTGATGGGGAGTGGATCGTGCATGTTGCCTGTCTCTATCTGACTGCTGGTGGCTTTGCAGCCGGAAGAAGCTTTTCCTAGAAATGTTCTGAGTGCAACTCTGTGCAAGGAGAGAAACTAGGATGCTGCTGGGTGGATGCGATAGCGGCGAGACGATTGCCAATAAGAAGAAAATTGTCTGAGGAAAAAGCACGACCGAAAAGGAAAAGTGAAAAATACGCCGAAAAGCGCCAAAATTTTGTCCGTCTGTGAACTGCAGATTTCTTCCCGGTGTGTTTCTTCGACTTTTCGGCAACGAGGAAGACGAAGAAAGTGTGTTTGTACCAGTTTTCGTGCGATTTTGGCTGAGACCGTCATCGTAGGTGGATTCGAGGAAGATATTTTCCGTCGTTCCGTACTTGTGAATGAAACTGTGCGCTTTTAGGTACATCTTTGACACACTAAAGTTTTGCCAGTGAAACACAAACGTGGTGCTCGGTAGATATTCTATGGAAGACTAGAAAGTTTCTCTCGACGGTTGTGGGTCGGAAGGTACAGGAGAAGGTTACTGTTTTTGATAATCATGTGATTTTGTGTTGTCTACTGGCGGGAGCGGGAATAATGAAAATACAGACCATTGCAGAATTCCTGCATCTGCAATAAAAGTGTCACCGTCATCGTAGGTAATTCTGTCAGTGGAGAAAAAAATAATTGAAGCCTGATCAATACCCAATATGAGTGAGTGAGAAGAAGCAAACAGAGAGAGAAATTAGCTGCCCAGTCGGTGTGTATATTTTGCAAATTTGCCCGCTCTTGGGCCAACCAACCAACCAGTGACAAATTGGTCCATCGCTGGCAGCTGCGAAAAGGGAAAATTCATACCGTACAACAACACATAAATTATTGATTGGATTTCGATCACATACGAGCATTTTTGGTGGAACGAGCGACAGAAAAAAAAAAGCAGAAGGGATAAAACTGAGATTTGTGCGTAGTGGTGCAGTGCAGCATATTTGAGCATATCGGTGCCAGTGAAAATATCGTTCCCGTGCCTCGACGGTCGGCTGGGCTGCGTGTGGTGTGCAATCGATCTTTGATGTGATAAAATTTTCTGGTGGATAATTTTGGATGATACAGAAATTGTCGGTACTGTTTCGACTGTGCGGTGAGTAAGGTATCTTTACAATCGGACCGAAGGAAACATTACAAGGATGCAGAAGACAAGGATAAACGATAAGACGGTTGTAATGGCACTACTGATGTTGTGGATGAATTTCGGTAAGTTAAATTTGAGAGCCAGACATAGTGTGCTTCCATATTGAATATGGATGAATATTTCTTTCTGGGATGAAATGCAGTGATGGGTGATCTGATACTAGAAACCCGGTGTCTCTGAAAGAAAGAGTTATTTAAAAATCAACCCATTCGCTGAAACACCCACCAAACAAAAGTTTAGATGCACCGCTTTCATATGAGGCTAGTATAGCAATGGTCTGGAATATATTACACATTGCGCACATTATAAGTGCGATTATATGTGCGGAAACGCTTATAAAAGTGTGCTCATCGGCGCACTTATTCGTTGGATCATAAGGAATAAGAGCGTAGAAGTCACCAAGACGATACATCGTAAACGTTACAATTTTGAGATGTTCAGTATGTAAGTACAAATCATATTCATCGATGTACACATACATTTCGACCACAAAATGCCCGAATATTTTAATTTAATCGGTTTTCTGAGGTGTGGCCAAAATAGCAACCTATGGCCAATACTAGTGCACTTCCCCTATCATATAAACACACACACTTTAACATTTATATATAATTGGAAGTGTTCTGGACAAGTTCAGCTGTGCAAAGAACCAACGTGAAAGAATTCCATTCTGGGCGGTTAATTGCTTTTGATTTAACCTGGACACAGATAACATTCCTATCGACTTGCATTGTTTCCTTGTTGATGGTCTACCACCATGAACCCCTGGGTCTACCTCTGATGCGATTTCCTGCACGGTTCCAATACAGTGCTTGCTTGCAAATTTTGGTTCCGCCCTATTCGTAGTCTGTGGCCAACTCACTTCAACTAACGTTCTTGAATTTTAATTTGTGTCGGCTCCTGATGACATCGACAATGGAGTTCAGCATTTGAGATCCAATGGTGAGTTCTCCATGCATGAATTATAAACCGCAAGCAGCGGTTGATGCCACACCTGCTTATTTTGGGTGTTCTCCACTGATACGCACCATGTCTCGCTAGTGTAGAACAGCACAGATTCCACATTCGAGTTAAAAATTCGGATTTTGATGCGTAAACTTATCTGGTTTGATCTCGTATTTTGTAAACTTGCAAAGGCAGCCTTGTCTTATTAGTCTCACTTTGTTTTATCATTGAGAATTTTAGTCATCAAGTAGCTTGGCCCCACTGTCTGATACTAGGTTAGGTTAGGTTGAATTTATTAAGGAGACTTGCAACCCGAGGCTTGTTCATCTCCGGAACGTGTCTGACAGTTAAGACTGTACTCCAACAAAAAAAAAAATACAACATACAAAAATGATCACCAAAAATTAATTTTTAGTCGGATATTTTTTTAAATTCTCAGGGAATAAATAAGCACATATTAGATATGTTTAAACAAAGTTGGATTATTCAACATCCTCTCTTAGGCTAAATGCCCGCACTTTGGACTCAACGCTACCCATCAAATCCAGTGCAACTTTTTTTTGTCCTGTTCGTTTATTTCGAAGGCTGAATCGCGATAGCTTTATGGAGCCGATAATTCATTGTTCACTGTTTGTAACAAAATTCACTTAATTCTATGTCTAGTAGAAGTTGAACCGAATACTTGCGGCTTACTCGAGGTTAGAAGGGTACATGGTCGAAGGATAAGATCAGGGGAGAAGCTAAGGGGTGGGTTTTCGTTGTCTCATCAGAGCGTTGTCACCAGTACACTGAAAAGAAAATTTCGTTTATACAACGAAATCGCTCGTTTGTTCTACGAATTTATTCGTTGTTTTCTGCAACGAAATGGATTTGTACATTGTATGAAGCTAGTTTCGTTAGAACTGCCACACTCGCTATCGCTACACCCAACCAGCGGGCCACAAGTGTTGGTTGTGGAAACCGAAAAATGTGGAGTGTGTTAGTGAGGATGGGTAAAAATAACTTCATCATTGGAAGGAATAAATATGACAAAAAAATAAAACTAAACTTCAGACCGGACACGACTCATGAACCATGCAATTGTCAGATCTATGCTTTGTCCATCGCTCTATCTGTGCTATGAGAAATGGTAAAGCTAAAGGCAAACAAGAAGCACTCATGGAACGGTAATTCGATTTCGCTTGCTTTTTCTGCTGCTTGCATGTATTTTTTTTTTCTAACATCAAACCACCGCGATGATTTATTGTTGTAGCTTGCATGTATTGGTCAAACCATCAATATTTCTAAAAAAAATGACCCATCTCCAACACACAATCAGCACTTTAGGAGACAATAAGCGCAGTTGTTGGTTTGATTGTACGAAGATGTATTTGTATATTATACGAATAAGGCGTAATATTGACATTGCGCCATATGACGTACCATTTATGAAAGATGTGTTGTATGTACGATATTCATTTTTACGAAACGGTTTTCAGAGAAATAACGAAAATACATTTTCAGTGTATGAATGGTAGTTCGGTTCTAGATTTGTCTGGAGTTTGATCGTGTGTGCAACACTTGCGCCATATTTTTTACACACTTTCATCCACTCTTTCTTCAAATCCTTGTCATTTTGAAGACCTTCTCTGTTCTCCCTTCATAATCGCCCAGAATTTTTCTATTGGGCGATTATGAAGGGATTCGAGTTTGGCGGCATTGCCTCCTTCGGCACAAAAACAGCATCGTTGGCTTCGTACCACTCCATCAGGCTTCTGGAGGCATTGCTGAACTTGCCGCACCCACAGATCACCTGCCACACTAAATACTTCTTGGTATATTTGTCGACCTTTTTCTTCCGAAACTTCTGCGGAACATCCAGACGGGACTTGCCAATGAAAAACTCTAGACCGGGGATCTGCTTGGCGTCCGCTTTAATGTACGTCTCGTCGTCCATTACGATGCATTTCAGCTGCACCAACCACTCGCGGTACAGCTTCCTGGCGAAGGATTTGGCCACCGTATTCTGTTTATCGGTTCGGTTAGGCGCCTTCCTCTCCTTGAAGACATGAAGTCCGGCCCGCTTCATTGTCTGCTGGACGAACCAGACGGAAGAATTGACCTTCTTGGCCACTTTCCGAATCTAATGGTTCGGATTGCGCTTGAAGTAATTCCTCAACTGTCTTGCGTTCACGGGTTCGGTCGTCTTCGCTTTTCTTACACTGCCAGCTCGCCAGTAGGTCGTCTGGGTCTCCTTGAACGATATTGCCACACGATACACGATCGAATTGTCAATTCCAAACTGTTTCGCGATCCACCTGTGGGACTGGCCTGGATTTTCACCGAACGCTACCATATTTTTTTTGTCGAAGCAATTCTTGCTTGGAAGCCATCTTGATAACCACAGACAGATTGTGACGAGATGTTACACTTGTAAACATTACAGTCTAAACTAGTTTAATTCAAAATTTCAGCAATAGTGTTGCATTTTTTCGAGTACAATCCTCATATGGCTGCCAAGATATTGGAAACTTTCGACTTTCTGCACTGCTTGCTCTTAAACCACAAAGTTGAAAAGGTTGTCCGTGTTGGCAAGGCCGTTGGGCTAACTCTACATATGAGCGCGCCGTTGTTCGAATATCGTAACATCATCAGCCAAATCGAAACCGGATTCGTTAAGCAGGTGAAATAAATAATTTACCTGTGTGTAAGTGTGTGAACGTGCTTCAATTTATTGATTATGATCCGCATCATTTTTGTTAGATTTTCTAGTTTGTTGTTTCGGATATAGTTTTGGAATAAAGTGAATTTCATAACACAGCTTTTTGAAGGAGTGTTCATTGCTTTGTACGCTGAAAACGAATCTTACTCAGAGAGTGAGTCACTTTTACTCATTCGTATAAAGAAATTTTTAAAAGCGTAGGTTACTCATGGGCTGAGTAACCTACGCATTAAGACAATTTTCCATACGAATGAGTAAAAGTGACGCACAAATGAGTAAAAGTTAATCACTCAGATTAGCATTTTATGTCCCTCCTTTTTTCTGTATTTTGCTGATGCGAAAATAGAACAAAGCCTACTGATTGCAATGTTTGAATTCTTCTGATATCGACGGAATATTAGATACGTGTTTGGCCAAGATAACCCACGGACCAAGTAAGTGCAGATTTTTCATTTCCCTGGGCCGATTTGCGTCTGCGTCTGGTTGTTTTTCATTGGTGTGAGGTGTATGTATTGACCTGCTAGGAATGCTACGATGTCCACGCTGCAATGAACAAATCCGAGATCGAACCGCTCACCGTGAAACATCGAATGATTGTGCGGCTTCGGCTTGTGTTGTTATTGATCAACTTTCTGATGACTGTGTTAGGGATGACAACCTTGTGGTCGAAGACAGTTTATTATTATTATTGAACACCCTCCTCGACTACGTCGTACAGACTTATTACTTAAAACTACAACTTGTTTAACCTTAACCTCTTATTCTATTACTAAACGCATTCTTGGACATATTATATAAAATTCGTTACAAACATCATTAAAGTAGGAATTAAAACAGTTTTTGAATCCGAAGTTAGTTCTGTGGAATGGAATTGACAGTAACGGGAGTTACGAAATCAGCGAGGAGGAATGTTCCATGGAATTCGTTCAAGGAGTTCGGGACAGTCCACATTACCGGTAATTAGGAAGATGAACAGTCGTTGCAATTTTATACGCCTTGCTGATAGAGATTCCAAATCAATTAGCATGCATCGGTCTGGATAGCTACAAAGACTGCACCATTCCATGGGTACTGACGTAAAGCAAACCTCATGAAACTTTTCTGAAGCCGTTCAATCGAGTGTAATGCGTAGTGTAAAATGAAGACTATACTGGGGAAGCATATTCTTAGATACTACGAACCAGCGAGCAGAATAGTATCTTGAGGCAATACAACATCGGTGAAACCAGTAGCATGATGACAAATGACACCAAGCACAGTTTATGCTTTTGCAGTTATGATGCTTATGTGTTCACAAAACGTTAACCTGGAATCGATCCTAACGCCTAAATCGCAGTTTGAGTTAACACGTTCAAAATATGTAGGAAATTTGAATTTTTCCATATTTCTTCATTGTTAGCTATTTAAATATTTAAC